CATAGGGGTCTTGTTTGAGTCTTCTGCATGTGGTCAGCCAGTTTACCCAGCACCATTTACTGAATAGGTTCTCCTCTCCCCAGTGGTAGGTGGTGGAGGCTTTGTCAAAGATGATTTGGTTGAGAAACTGAGGTTCTTTAAAGTTATTTTGATCCCCTCTGAACATCAAGCAGTGTGAGCAATACCAGAATAACTGGCAGGGTGATGTTTTTCTAACTATTTTTATGTATAATCAGGGCTGTTCTTCACAGTCCTTAGGGAAACCCTATTGAACGTACCACAGGAGTAATTTTTAGTAGTGTGGGATAATAAGTGATCATTCACAAGCCTGAACTACATAGCCTAAAGGATAATATGCTATTTTTGGAAACATGTCTCCTCTAAAGTAGAACTACTCATTTGCATGAAAATATAATGGTAATAACATTTACTGGGAGCTTATCTATGCTAGACATTCTTCTAACTAAGTACTTTGCGTAAATTATTTCATGTAATGATCACAATAGCCTATAAGATATGGAGATAATGGGAATGAGTTATTATTCTTATTCTATAGTTACACAAAATGAGGTTTCTGAAAAAACTAGAAAAGCTATCATATGTTCCAGCAATCCTGTTGCTGTGTATCTATACAAAAGAAATGAAATCAGTATATCAAAGAGATATCAGGATGCCTATATTTATTGCAGCACTCTTCACAGTAGTCAAGAAATTGAATCAACCTAGGTGTTCATCAACAGATAAATAGATAAAGAAAATGTGGTAGATATAATATATAATAATATCCTGTGGTACACAGGCACATACACACATATACGCATATATATGTATATGCATATATATATACACACATAAAATGGAATATTGTTCAACCATGAAAAAGAATGAAATCCTGTCATTTGCAGCACTGTAGTTGCCACTGAAGGTCATTATGTTAAGTGAAGTAAAACAGGCACAGAAAGACAAATATTACACATCCTCACTCATTTTGTGGGAACTAAAAAAAGTAGCTCTCATGGAGGTAGAGAGTAGAATGATAGTTACCAGAGACTCAGAAGGGACAGGGGGTAGGGAATGAGGAAAAGTTTGGTTAAAGAGTAAAAAAGAATACAGTCAGAAGGAATAGGTATTTGATAGTACTATAGGGAAATTATAGTTAAAAATAATTTAAAAAAATTTTATTATAAAATGTGGGTACAATTCAGGTTAGGTATATAAATATTGATCATGCAGGTACCCTTGTTGATGAGGTGTGCCCCTCCCTTCCTTAGCAGTTTCCCTCAACTGCCAATCCCCCTGCCCCCCCCAACAGTTTCCCATTATTGCCAGTCGCTTTCTTATAGCATTATAATTGTTCAAGTTTCTCTGATGAGGGAGAATATATGGAACTCTGTTCTTTGTTTCTGTGATAAATCACTGAGTATGATCAACTCCAAATCCATCCGTTGCTGCAGAGTTCATATATTTGTACTTCTTTATGGCTGCATAATATTCCATTGTGAGCTGGGCTCAGTGGCTCAGCCTGTAATCCCGTGCTTTGTAAGGCTGAGGTGAGTGGATTGCCTGAGTCTGCAGGTTTGAGCCTCGCCTGGGCAACTTGGCGAAACCTCATCTCTACAATAAATCAAAAAAATTAGCCGAGCATGGTAGCACGTGCCTGTAGTTCCAGCTACTTGGAAGGCTGAGGCGGAAGGATCATCGAAGCCCAGCAGGTCGAGGCTGTGGTGGCCGGGAGTGGCCACTGCACTCCAGTCTGGGCAACAGAGTGAGACTCCAACTCAAAAAAAAAAAAAATTCCATTGCATATATGTATTACCCTTTTTTTTATCCAGTCCAGCTTCTGTGGGCAACGTGGTTGGTTCCATGTTTTTGCTATTGTGAATAGAGCTGCAATAAACATATGTGTGCAGGTATCTTTTTTGTAGAATAATTTGAGTTCCTCTGGGTATATTCCCAATAGGGGAATTGCTGGGTCATACGGAAGGTCAATTTCTAGTTCTTTCAGAAATCTCCACACTGTTTTCCAAAGAGTTTGTACAAGTTTGCATTCCCACCAGCAATGTAGAAGCGTTCATTTTTCTCCATATCCCCTCCAGCATCTGTTGTTAGTTAACAATAATTTATTATGTATTTCAAAATAACTAGAAGAAAAGAATTGTAATGTTCTCAGCACAAAGAAAAGATAAGTGTTTGAGGTGATGTATATCCCAGTTACCCTGATTTGATCATTGCACATTGTATATAGGTATCAAGGTATCACGTATACCCCTAAATATGTACAACTATTATGTATCAATAAAACTTGAAAAGAGAGTATATGCTCTCTGTCTTTTAGATACTTTTTTCTTTTCTGAGTGGGAGTCTCACTTTGTTGCCCAGGCTGGAGTGCGGTGGCACACTCAAGGCCACCACAGCCTCGACCTGCTGGGCTCAGGCAATCCTTCCACCTCAGCCTTCTAAATAGCTGGAACTACAGGTGTGCACCATGGATACTTTTTTCTATCTCAAACCCTTTTAAAACTGATGACAGTTCTGTGACAGTTATTTTCTTCCTTTGATGGAATATACTTGTATTTTGTATACATGTAGGTATATAAACATACACGACTTGATTCCTTTTCTCAAAATTTTAAAGATTTAAAAAAAATTTGTATCTTAATATTAAAATTTATTTTTGTTTTTTATTCCTTTTTCAGAAAAGGATTTGATTTTCAGAGAAAACGGTATGGAAAACTAAAGAAGTTTAGCACTGTAAACCCTGAGTTTTATAATGAACCGAAAACTAAACTTTATCTTAAGCTGAGTCGGAAGGAAAGTTCTTCAATTTATAGCAAAAGTAAGTTGTTCTGATCATATTGGTGATTCAGTCTAGCCTTGTATTTCTATTACATGCAATTCTGTAAATTATATATATTAAAGATAATTTTGAAAGTATGGTTTCTGTAAATTATATATATTAAAGATAATTTTAAAAGTATGGTTTAATAGTACTATGTATTATCAATTATTGTACAATAAATTAGATAATTTCTAATAATCATATTTTAAAACCTTAGGGCTTTTGAAAAACTTTATTGAAAGGATATAAAAAATATTTCATCTTGTTTAGAAACTTACCTTAAGTTCTTGGCACCATATAAATAAGTATATTGATTCAACTGTATTTTGAGGTAATATCAAAAATAAACTGAGAAATATAATGAATTTGTTGATACTTCTTTTGTCTGTACAATTTGACAACACTGGGCTCTAGATTTTATAGATTTGGAAATAAATGTATAAATGACTTCAGGTGTACTAAATTGTATAGATCATTATCTTTGGTTTCATGACCTACTCTTAGTCATTGGTCCTCTTGTAGCTTGCTTTTATTTATTTAATTTGTTATTTAAAATAATATAATAAGTATCTGTGAACTCACAAATCAAGACAAAATCTAGTACCTTTAGGAAGGAAGGCCCCCCAAACTGGATTTATTTATAAAAAATTGTGTATTTATTCTTACATGTTTAAACTTTAGTCACCCTCAAAGTACTCTCTGATGTAATATACCTATGAAGATACTTTTTCCACTGCTTTAAACAGCTTTTGAACTTATCAATTTTGATGCCTTTTAGTGTTTCTGCCGTTTTTTGTTTCAGCTCTTCCACATTGGCAAAACGTTTCCCTTTGATGATTTTTTTCATCCATGGAAACAAAAAAAAGTTGTTCGGGATAAGATCCAGTGAGTTGGGAGGGTGGGACACAAGTGCCAGTTTTTGGTCAAAAACTGCTGAATATTCAGGGTGTGTGGGCAGGTACACTCGAAAATCACCCATTATGAAATGGGTGAACACACTGAAAGAATCTAAAAAAAAAATTCACTGAATCCAAATGCAGCCTTTTACAACAATGCTACCTGGTACAATGATGCCAATGGGTTCCTAGAACACTTATTTAATGGGGGAAGCCTGTACTACAAGGGGCCTACCTTCCAAAAGATAATTCCAAGTTTTTTTGGGTCCCCCTATGTATATCACCCTACATTTAATATAAATTAACCCTATTAACTCATCTGGTTGTCTCACTTGACCCAAAGTAATTATTATTTTGATCCCTGCAGTCATCAACATTTTGCTTTCCTTTGTGTATAGATTTTATAAATCAATTCCTAAACAGAATATTTAAAATTTTTGCTTTTATTAAACCTTATTAAAATGATGTCATTCTATATATACTTTTTTGGAATTTATCTTTTTTCCTTAGTATGTCACTGTAATACATTTATATTTGCTGCCCTGAAATCTAAAGCTAAATTATTTATTTTGACATACAATATTTTATTTTGTGAATATGTCACAGTTTGTTCACTCTGTTTTCTGTTGTTTGTCATTTGAGTTTTTGTGTTTTGCCATTGTGAGCAGGGTGTTATAAATATTCTTATCTTATAGGTGTGCAAGAAGTGGTTATATCAATCTTTCTTAAAGTATGAAAGATCTTATGGATCATCCACTCAAATGAGTGTAAAATTATCTCATTGTGGTTTTATTTTACATTTCTCTGCTCACCAAAGATGTTGAAATGCTCTTCATGTGTTTATTAGCTACTTATGTATCTTCTTACCAATTCTACTATTGGGTTCTTTATAATCTTTTTTTATTTACAGAAGTTCTTTATGCATTCTTCATGTTAATCTGCTAATCCTTTGTTGATTATGTATATAATCGACATCTGCTCCAAGTGTGTACCATGTCTTTTCATTTACTTTAAGATATCTTAGATAAATAACAATTTTAAATTTTAGAACAGATTTATTAGTAGTCTTTTTCTATAATGCTTTTCATATCTTATTTAAAAAATATTTTCCTAGCCGGGCTCGGTGGCTCAGCCTGTAATCCCGCGCCTTTGGGAGGCTGAGGTGAGTGGATTGCATGAGTCCGCGGGTT